TTTTTTTGTTTGCTTGTTTGTTTCAGGACGTGGGTCTGGACTTTTCTCCTGGCCCAATCACAGCAGAGGATGGAGACAAAGGGATCAATGCTCCTCTCACCTACACCATCCTCTCAGGTCAGACTCACTCACACTCACCATTAGACTCATGTACAAACATGTGTGTACAGGTGTGTTTGCTTCACCCACAGGTGATGATCAGGGCAGGTTCACAATCAACAACACAACAGGTGAGATCAGGTTAACCAGAGCAGCAGATGACCGACGACTGACAACAAACTACATGCTCACAATCATGGTAACGACATACCTTCCTGTTTTCTGCTTCATTCACAACAATTGGCCACAGTATGTCTTTTATACTGTCTTCCTTCTCTCACCACTGTCACTGCTGATGGCTGCCCCTCCCTGAGCCGGGTTCTGCCGGAGGTTTCTTCCTGTTAAAAGGAAGTTTTTCCTTCCCACTGTTGCCAAACTCATAGCACTTATCATATGATTGTTCGGTTTTACTCTCTATGCATTAGTGTCGGGTCTACCTTACAATATAAAGTGCCTTGAGGTGACTGATGTTGTGATTTGGGGCTGTATTAATAAAATTGAATTGAATTGAATTGAAAACTGTGAGACATCTACTTTCCCTCTCACCTGTACAGGTGTGCCAGGTGGATGACAGGTTGAAGTACAGTGTGGCGTCAGTTCTGGTCAGAGTTCTCTATGAGAACGCATTTCCTCCGGCCTTCAACAGAACCACTTACAAAGGTTTCATCATCCAGAGCTCTAGCCCTGCCTCCATCATCTCCACCTATGGGAACCAGGTGTTGCAGGTCCAGGTGTCAGACCGTGACTTCCCTGATGTAAGAACACATGGGGTGGCACATGGGGTGGCTGTAGCTCAGGGGGCAGAGCAGGTCAGCCACTAATCAGAAGGTCGGTAGTTCGATTCCAGGCTGTCTCCTGGCTGCATGCCAAATATCCTTGGGCAAGATACTAACCCCATGTTTGCCTACTGGTGGTGGTCAGAGGGCCCGGTGGTGCCAGTGTCCGGCAGCCTCGCCTCTGTCAGTACGCCCCAGGGCAGCTGTGGCTACAATGTAGCTTGCCATCGCCAGTGTGTGTGTGTGTGTGAATGGGTGAATGACTGAATGTAGTGTGAAGTGCTTTGGGGTCCTTAGGGACTAGAAAAGCGCTATACAAATGCAGGCCATTTACCATTTACATGCTACACTACCTGTGTTACTTCCTAAATCTTATCAGTGAGTCATCTCTACTGTCAAATCACAGGGCAGGAACCCAAATATCCACTATTTGCTCCATCCTCCATCCGAATTGTATCAAGTCACAAAGGAGGGGGTTCTGATCGCCAAGACAAACCAACTGCACGCCTTTGACAGACAAATCCTACAGGTGAGTTAGACATAGATCAAACCAACTCACCTGTTAAACACCTGTCACCACCGGTATCACGATTAGCTGTCGCTGCTAGCACCAACTCAATGTCTCTTTAAGAGGGGGGATCCATGGTCTTATAGGTGGAATTTTTCCACCTTAAAATAATATCAGAAGTCTAAATAAGCAATAATGAGGGGTAGAGGCTTGATGGGCCTGACCTTCACCTGTAAGATGGGAATCAGGTGATTTTCAATTTGTTAACTTTAATCCCAGGTTGGTTGGATGTGGTTTGAATTAGCTGAACCAGAAGTTATTTTAAATGGTTTCTTTGTGTGTATCAGTGTCTGCAGGAGGTCAGTGACCATTACCAGGTCCAGTTTCCTTCACCTCCAATAAAATGATCAGTGTGCTTGGTAGAATAATGTTTAACATCAGGAAATTAGATAGTTTATATCTCACGATGATACATCATGTTCTGATTGAAATAAAACAGCTGTGCCTCAAATATGGAGTAAGCAAGAAACTAACAGCCATGTTTGGAACATCAGTGAAAGTGTAGCTGATGGTTAACTGCAGAGATGTAGTTACGCTAATATAAACTCATGAGCACAGAAAGATGGAGGAACATCTGCTATCTGCTAAAGTGATATCAGTAAAGTTCATGTTGAGAGACAAACGACACCATATGACAGGAAGAAGATGCTGAAAACAGACCAAGGTCAGCCCAGAGGTCTGAGATGATCCTCAGTAACTCTTACTGCTACCTGGTTTAGATTACTCTGAAAAAGTCCTGGACCTCAGCTTCATATCCACACTGATTCTTCTCTGGGACATTCAATTTTTGGTGTCCAGCACCCAGTGAGCGGAAAGGGTGCAGTTGCACCACAGGTTTTTAAAAACTTAAAGACATGCTGCACAGAATAAAAGGCTGAAGAGGCTGAGAATAAATACTTTTATCCAGTGAAACTAGAAACAGAGGCCTGGAGCACATTAAATCTGTGCTTTTTCAGTGATATTAGAGTCATTATTGTAGCCCCAGGTAGGGTGCCACATCCAAATCTTGGCAAATAAAACTGAACACAGCAAACAGCAAAAACGTCTCTGTGGAGCTGCTGTGACACCATGCTTAGCAGATTACAGTAATGACCCTAATATCAGTGAAAAGCACAGACTCACTGC